CAATCTGTCCTCTTGTTCACTACTTAAGTTGGAAGAGATAATTACAGGCAATTTTTCTCCTTCCATAAGATATGCATACTTAAGATGTGAAGGCAGGGGTTTTAACTCCAAATCAGGTGCTTCTAAAATGGACGGGGTTTGGGTTGGTATATTTTTAAAATCTAACTGTTCAAAGGCAGCTATGTCCTCAGGTAAGTCTTCTTCAAAAATGTCTTCTGCCGTGCTCACAATGTCTCCATTGTATGCACAGTCGATCAAACTTAGATCTAAATCATCACCTACTGAGTATATAGACGAACAGTCCTCAATCTCCCCATTRAACTTAAGAGTCTTAAACACATTGAAAGTTACCTGCTGGTCATTTACTCTCATGGTCAACTCACCCTTTTGTACATCAATTAAAGTTCTACCCGTCGCAAGAAAGGGTCTCCCTAAGATAATCGGGACATTCCTATCGGCTTCATAATCTAACACTAGAAAGTCGGCTGGAAAGATGAATTTGTCCACTTTAACCAAGATGTCTTCAATTTTACCTTTTGGATATGCCAAGGACTTATCCGCTAGTTGCAAAGTCACGGTGGTAGGTCGAACTTCCCCAATTCCYAACTGATTAAAAATGGACAAGGGCATGAGATTTATACTTGCCCCAAGGTTACACAAGGCATGACCTACCTCTTTCCCACCAATAGAGCACGGGATGGTGAAACTTCCCGGGTCTTTCAATTTTGGGGGAATTTTGCAAGTAAGAAGGGCACTACATTCCTTTGTCAAAGACACGATCTCAAATTCACTAAGTCTTCTCTTTTTATTGAGGATGTCTTTCAAAAATTTAACATAGCTAGGCATTTGCTCGAGAGCTTCTACCAAAKSTATGWTAATVTGGAGTTKTTTAAAGATGTCCAAGAACTTCTTAAACTGAACATCCACATTTTTGGCTTTCATCCTACCTGGAAAAAGGTAAATCTCTTAGATCTAAACCAGTTGGGTCGGTCTTTTTCTGCTGGACTGTGGGCAGTTTCTACCCACAGTGAGCAGTATCAGTTGGAGACTAGGTGGTGCTGGAACTGGGTAAACCTGCTGTTTCTGGAACAGAAACTGGAATCTGAGTTTCTGCAGCTGTAGGAAACAGAACTGGAAATTTTGATGTATCAAAAGAATGTGAAATATTTTCTTGACAAATCGGTTCCATGGGTGTTTCTTTTTCAGCATTAGAGTCTCCTAAGTCCTTATCACTTCTTAAAGTCACGGCTTTAACATGTTCCTTAGGCATTTCCGTGTCACTAGGCAAAGTTCATCGGCAATATTAACCATGGCTTCCCGAGGAGGTGGATTATCCCCCATGGTACGGTTGGGATTTCGCCGATTATTTCTACCTCTTCTTCGTCTCCTAATTGTTCTTTCTAACTCAAGATCAAGAGGTACAAGATCACCRTGTTGTAGCCGTGGCATACAACACAGGAATAGCGAATGAAACAACTGACTAAAGCTCAAATAAAAATCAATATCTCAGGATAAAAATCGTGCCAGTCCCCGGCAACGGCGCCAAAAACTTGATGTGCTTGGATCGTAAGTGTGCACACAGTGGGCATAAAATCCCCAAAGT